GCTGTCCCGCACTCCGGGCTCGCGCCAGCCGCCCGGCGCCACTACAGCGAGGCGGCCGCCGACCGCGAAGACGACCCCAACTTCTTTAAGATGGTGGAGGGCTTCTTCGACCGTGGCGCCAGCATCGTGGAGGACAAGCTGGTGGAGGACCTGAAGACCCGGGAGAGCGAGGAGCAGAAGCGGAACCGGGTGCGTGGCATCCTGCGGATCATCAAGCCCTGCAACCATGTGTTGAGCCTCTCCTTCCCCATCCGGCGCGACGATGGCTCCTGGGAGGTCATCGAAGGCTACCGGGCCCAACACAGCCAACACCGCACACCCTGCAAGGGAGGTGAGCGCTCTCGGTCCCTTCCCGCCCTCCCTCCCCTCCAGCCTCCTATAGCCCGGGCCGCTATCCGCCCGGCCCAGCACCGCAGGCCGTGCCCCCCTCCAAGCTCCCCGCCTAGGGTGTGGCAGCCTAAGAGGATACTGATTTTTTTTTTTCCGCCCTAAAACTACTATGTAATTTGCCAGCCTTCTTTCTGGGCAAGCCCTTCACCCCGGGCCTCTGCATGTGTTGATGCTGTCTATGCTGAGGACACTGCACTGGTTTCCTTTTGGCCTTGGTGCCTGTCACCCAGCGTGAGCCCGTAACACCAATGGCCGATGATACAAGAACAGAGAAAATGGTTTTCTTTCCGGAGTTGGAATCTAGAAAGTTTTATTGACCAACGGATCTTACTATCTTATAAATTAATAGAATTTTTACACTGATGACTTTTTGTGTTGTGCTCCTTTCCTCCCCTCAAAAAAAGAAGAAAGAAAGAAAAGGAAAGAAAAGAAAAGAAAAGAAAATCGAGCAGTGTAACGTTTCTGACAAACATAGGGCGTCCTGACATTAAATCTAAAGGGTGTAGACTACAGAACTGCCTGCCAGCCAATAGAATGAAATAGCCTTGGGGGTGTGTTCTTGTCCTGGCTAGTACCAGATTTGAGCCTCGGCAAAAGGAAGACTCCTTAGATAGTTGAGTCAGTTAAATTTGGTAGTCATCAAGGTATCCCGTGGTTTAAAAGTTTAAGTGTGTGTAGATTTGACGTTTCTAGGCACATTGCTTTCTTTAGGCAAGTAAAAAACCTTCTTTTCATTTCCTACCCAGTACATTTCACAATACAGCTTTAAAGGTACTAAAAGAATGACCTAAGAGTAAAAAGGAAACCACCCTTTTTTCTTTTGCTGTTGAGTGGGAGCCTTAATGGGGGTTGGATTGGCAAGTGAGCACAGGGGAGTTTGGACTAGACTTCTGGTTCTTGATATGCTGGGACTCTTTAATGGAGTTCTTCATGTTGTGGTGACCCCCAACCACAAAATTATTTCATTCCTACTGCATAACTGTAATTTCGCTGTTTTGAATCATGATGTAAATATATGCTATGCTAGCCCTGTGTGGTGTCGCGACCCACAGGCTGAGAACCAAGTGGGCTAGACCGTTGTCTGCCTCTGCTATCCAGGAGTCTTTTTGCTACCAGCTGAGTTAAAATGGGGGTAAATTGTAGAAATGTTTCTGCATGGGAAAAACTGATGCTATGATGATGTTCCCGGTGGTGGAACAAAGGTTATGGCTAAGGGGTCAATGATTTACCAAATTTGCATTGAGTCCACCCAGTCAAGGGTTTACCTTTGGAGGCTCATTGTCCCTTAGCTCAGTAGTTCCCTCTGCTAGAAGCTGTTGGAGCCACTTTGACCTCTAATTTCCTGTGCAGTTCCAAAATCATATAAAATGGGTGGCCACTGTACTTCTCCTTCCTTCTTCCTACCACTCCCTCACTCTCCAAACCAAGAACACTTTTGTTCTCCCCTGCCCAGCAAGTGAGGGTGTTGGAGCAAGATGCATTGTATTGCAAATGCTAAATTGTCCTTGTCTTTACAAAGGGAGGGCAGCGTTTTCTGTACTCTCAAGAGACCACTTCTGTTCCCCGTGATTTGATAGTTTTGAGCCCAAGACCTCTTTCTGTCTTGTCATGGCTCCCCAAAGTCATTAAAGCAATTCAAATTTGCCATGGTGTGTCATTTTAAATGCTCTTGTTGTCCCAGAAGTTTTCTACTAAAACATTGAACCTAGCAGCAAATACCATCAGCCTTCCCAGATTGCAGTAGCCATAGCTCTTGCTCAGAGTCAAAGGTGCAGTTGATCAGTCTCTCTACAAAGGGACTGGTATGGGAGGAGAGGAAGAGTGGTTTTGTCCCAGGAAACAGAAGCAGAGAAACTGATTTGTAGTTAGTTAGCAGTGACCTCACTGCATGATGATGCAGCAAGAAGAAAAGTGGGCTTTATAAAGTGTTAAATGTACTTAACATCTCAAGGAATCTGAAAAACTTTATGAACTGGAAAGATTGTATAGCCATGAAAGCCCTTTAGAAAATAAATAGTGTATATTAGATGGTTATCAAAACCTGAGTGCTATGGACTGCAATCCTTTGTTTCAAAGCGTTTTCTTACAGAAAACATACATAAGAGGAACTTACTTTCCTTTCAGTGGGGATTTTCTGTGCCAAAAATCTAAATCTTTCTCTATATCTAAGAAAAATATCAAAAAGTCAACTGTTTTAGTATGCAACTATTTCCTAAGCTACTCAGGAGACCGAGGCGTGGGGATCATTTGAACCCAGTTTGAGATGCCTCTGGGCAATAGAGGAAGGAGATCATATCGCTCAAATGGAGAAAGTTGTTAATCATAGCCTCCAGTCTTAGAAATATAGGATGTATTAGGTGCTTGGAATTAAAAAACAAAACAAAAAAACTATTTTTTTAAAATAATCCCTATATAGTTCAGTAGTCTTTACACTGATTCTATCACCCCCAAGTAAGCTGTCCTCTCTCTCAGTGTTTTGGGGATTTTGTTTTTGTTCTTCTGCCTCAGTTTTCTGCTTGCTGGAAATTCAGGCCTCATGCTCAGATCTCCCAGTGTTCATTAAGAGAACACTCATCTGTTCCTTGACATCCTTTTCCCAGCCTTCAGCTTTCTATATCTAATCTTTTCTCCACAGTGACCTTAGACCTGAATTCCCTAAAATAAAGTCCTCAAGGTTGAACCAGGCCTGGTGACAACTTGCCTGCAATCCAAGCTCTGAGGACTGAGCCAGGAAGGTTGTGAGTTGAAGCTCAACCTGAGCTATTCAGTAAGACCCTGACTCAGAAGACGAAAACAAACTCTATGTTGAAGCAGCAGTCTAAATTTATAATAAAAAGATAGTTTTAAGACCTGGGGGTACCTGTGAATGCTTTATTCCAAGTAAATATTTAATAAACCTGGTTTTGTGGTTCTTTTTTTTCCAAGCTATATTTGCCGCTGGTAAGGATTTACAGAGGGACCAGTGACCTGATTAAGTGGAGCCTTGCCTAGCATACTCAAGACCCTGAATTCAAGTAGCCAGGCATGGCAATGTGCACCTTTAACTCTGTAATTCCCAGCACTGAGGAGGCAAAGCAGGGGATCTGAAGTTCAGGACCAACCTAGACTACATAGACAGACCCTGTCTCAAAAAGCCAAGAAATTTATTTTGTAGCAAAGACGGATATTGTAATAAACAACTGATTTGAGAAGACTTGTTTAAAGGTTCTGATATGTTTTAAAGCATTGTATAAGTTGTTCCTATTGGACATGATGTCTGGGTGTATCATGTCACCCAGTCGTTTGCCAGGGTAGAGCCACCTTTTAGTAGGCGCCTTCCCTCAGCATCCTGAAGCTACACATTCTGAAAGAAAACAGCTTTCTCAGCAGATTGTACTAGTAACAGTTTCAGCATAAAGATCTTAAAAATCAGTTTGGGGGCCAGAGAACAGCTAGCTCATCAGTTAGTGCACTTGCTGCTCTTGCGGAGGACTTGGTTTGATTCCACATGATGCCTGGTGTCAATGGTGACCCAACCATCCATCTCTCCGGTTCCAATAATGTGATGCCTGCTTCTGACCTCAGGCACCAGACATCGTGTGGTGCACATGCAGGCAAAACATTCATACACATAAAATGACATTTTAAAGTAAAAACAGTTTAGAAGAATTCACCAACCAAGTAGTTATAGGAGTCACTTTTCTTTGTCTTCTAATTTGCCCTTAAATCTGTTAAGTCAAAAATTTTCAATCGGTGGTTCTTTCTGCTGTTAGAACTTCCTCAAATGGCCGTTTAACTAGAGAAGGTGAGCAGCAGATGTGTGTCTTGTGCAACCCTCTATTATTTTGAAAGCGTGACTGTGACTGTGTTGCTGCTACAAAATAGTGTAGAGAATTTAGCATGTCTTATAAGCCAGATGATTCCTCCATTCTTTAGCGCTCTGTGAGGCAGTGTTTGTAATACTGTTTGGTTAAATACAGAATTGTTTGCCTTTTTAAAGACCTGTCCTTTTCTAAAAGCCGTGTGTCTCCAGCCCCAACGTGCTAACAAATGAGGAGCTCTGAAACCTGAGACAATGTGTTCTACAGATTGTCCTGTCTCCTAGTCTTTGTGTATGCGAGTCCACTTAACTAGTTACAGGCCACTCTTACAGAGCACGCTCTGTAAAAACTGGCACATCATAGATCAGAAGCCACGCCCCAGTGCACGTTAAACTCAAGAAAAA